TACCTTTACGAGAAGTCTGTATAGAGCGTTGTTGTCGCGGCATTGTGGTGGTTGTGCAGAGCGTCGCGTCAGGTTAGGTGGGGTGGGCCACTTACTGGTGTGGGCCGCTTACTGGTGGTGCACGTTATGTGCTGCGGCTTAGTCAGCCTCCCCGCTGTGGGGGAACCTGGGAAGGCAGCAGCGACCTAGACAGCCGTGACAGCTTGGAGCTCTATCGACTCTCAGCATTACGCCGCAACCACACCCTCACCCGTCCGCACACACTACGACACCGCGTCATGGCGTCAAATATCGAACAGTCGCCATTCTTCCAGGAGCAGAAGTCGAAAGGCGAAATCGTTGTCAAGGGTATGACATAGTCGATGTAACATTGGCGCGTGTCGCTAACTCCGATAGACCCTCCCAAGTTTGATCTGGAATCATACATTGCCAATTACACCGGTAAGGCTCTCAACATGCTGCTTCGGCTCTCTGGGCACTGACAGGTCTTATAGGCTACACACGAATCGATCGCCTGCACCACATCGGCGCCCACTCGCCATACCTCGCCGCAGACGCTTACCGCCTCGCTATCGCCGAGGCAAAGAGGGGAAAGAATGTTGATTTATACACAACACTGGTAGAACAGTTCAGCCGCATAGCACCACAGGACCCTGCGTCTGTGACAGATACAGCATGGGTTGAGAAGAAGACGCGGGAAGTGCGCGAGGAGCACGACCGACTAGAGCATGAGCTCAAGTCATACAAGAACAACTTGATCAAGGAGAGCATACGAGTAAGTGCCGGTGTGGAGTAAACCTTTGCATCTTCGCTAACTGCCTGTAGATGGGCAATGAGGACCTCGGTCACTTCTACTACGATACCGGTGACTTTAGTAACGCACTGAAGGCCTACATGAAGATGCGGGAGCATTGCACCTCGCCCAAGCATCTTGCAGACATGACCCTCCGCCTCGTATATGTTAGCATCGCACAAAAGTCATGGACAAATGTATTGGCAAATCTGGCCAAGTCGGAAGCCACTCAGATTAAGGGCGATGACAAGGCCAAGATGGAGCCCATCATTTCTGCTTGCAGCGGTCTATGTCACATGGCTACTGGCAACTACCGCGAAGCTGCGACAGCGTTCCTTGGTACATCAGCGGCATACTTGACTGCAGAGCCAGCAGCGTACATTACATGGCAGAAGGAAGTCATTTCGGGTAACGACATTGCGGTATACGGTGGTCTTTGTGCGCTTGCCTACATGGACCGCAGCGATTTGCAAAACAAGGTGCTAGCAAACAGCGAATTTCGTAACTTCCTTGAGCTCGAACCTCACATTCGCCGCGCTATCAACCTCTTCTGCAACTCCAAATACAGCGCATGTCTCGAAGTGCTCGAAGGCTACCGCAACGACTATCTCCTCGACGTATATCTGTCCAAGATGCTGAACACCATCTACAGTCGGATCCGGACAAAGAGCATCGTGCAGTACTTCATACCCTTCAGCTGCGTCACGCTTGACGAAATGATGTCCAAGTTCCCGCCAGCGGAAGGCCGGACCATCGACGAAGATCTGGAAGAGATGATCAACCAGCGTGTTCTCAATGCGCGGATAGATCTCGTCGACCGCCTACTCATCTGTCCACCCACAGACCCCCGCCACGACGTACACGCCGACGCTCTCAAGATGGCCGAGGAGTACGACCACACCCTGCGCCTTCGATTAACGCGTCTCAACTTGCAGGCAGCGAGCATGGAGATTTCATCAAACAAGTCGAATGAAAAGTCATCTGGTATGGGTGGAAGCATCGGTGACACTTTCCGCGGTTTAGGTCAGAAGATAGGATTTTAGGAGACACCTAAGATGACCAGGGGAAACAACGACGACGTCAAACACGATGAGATGATGGACGTGGATTAGCGCAGGATGGAGAGTTTGCGCGGCTGGCATTGCAAGGCGTTTTTGGAGCGGCATGGCGTACATATACAGGCTGGGCAAGGACATCAAGCGGCATTCTGGCGTTGGAATGATGAGGCATTGCAGTAAACGGAGCTGTCTAGTACCAGATAGCTGAGTCAACACGTCATGCAGAAGCATAATTATACCATGGTCATTCCTTCATTCAAATTCGTAACATGCGTGTATATAGTGTGCCAATCTTCCCGCAAATGGAAGAAGACATATCCTGGGTATCTAGTATTCGTATCGCTGAAAGCCAAAATATCCTAAATCATGATTTGGCGCCAATGTAACAGCAGCCATTTCCTCGTCAACTCAAGACAGTGATGAGTAGCCTCGTCATAGGACCAGGCTACCCGGTCCTTATCTAAAAACACCTGACCCTCTCGCCGCAGCCCATTGGTCTTGTTGTGGTTGTTGTGGCTGTTGTTGTTGTTGCTGCTGCTGTTGCTGCTGTTGTTGTTGTTGTGGTGCCGCACTTTGATATCCATAATACCCAGTGGGTGCCCATGCAAACTCCCCAGGACGTCCATACGAATTATTTACATCGATGGTAGGCGCCGGTGGCTGTTGAGGCTGCGTCTGTGGTAAATGCGCGTTCGTCTGTGCTGACATGCTGTTTTGCGTCACCATTGGCTGCGATGCCATGGGATTGACTGGCAGCGTGTTCTGCGGCATGGGCCGATTGAGCGTGCCATACAGAGAGTGGTTGGAGTGGTTGGCTGCAAAATAGTTTTGATGTGTCTGAAGCTGTGTGGTTTGCATTTGTTGGGCTGTCGCTGCCTGGAACTGCTGTTGTGGAGTCATAGACTGCTGTGAAGGCCCAATCTGCTGCGGCTGCTGCTGCTGCTGCTGCGGTAGTTGTTGCGGCGGGTTCTGTAGGCGCTGTTGGGGTGATTGGCTACCCATCTTGTAGGCTAGCTGTTGTTGTGGGCTTCTCACGCCGTGCGGTAGACCTTGATTGAGTTGTTGCAGTTGTTGACGGTGGTTTGGTATTGAATGTTGACGTTGCGGTTGCTGCTGAGACACATGGGGTAACGTCTGTGACTGTGACACTTGTGATCGGTGACGAGGCTGTTGCGGGACCTGTACTGGTTGCGGCTGTTGTTGAACATGAGTTTGTTGTGGTGGTTGCGGAGGCGGAGGCGGCGGCTTTTGTTGGACTTGGGATTGCTGCGAGCGAGGTCGTGGCGCCATTTGCGGCGTCTGGATTGGGGTAGTCGAAGCTCGCTCCCGAGCCTCATAATGTTTCAGCTTTGCCTTGGTTTCCTCGAGCTCCTTCATGATCTTTGCAAGCTCGGATTCGCCAGCGGGATGAGCTGCCGGTTCGGGGGCTTGCGTAGGTGGTCGCTGGTCTTCGCCACTCGCTGGCTCAGAGTATACACACAGCCGTCTCTTGTCGTTGCATGTCGAACATGTGGGCTTGATGCCATCACACTGTATATATCAGCTGCTGTTGCTTGAACGCCCAATTGTTTGTATCCTACCTTGGTCTTCTTAGCCTTGCAGACATCGCAACTGTTCCTCGGCCGCTTCCGCTGTGGTGCTGATACTGATTGCGTTTCAACATGTAGTGTAGGGCGCGGCCCAGGGTGAGGCTTTTGCGGGGGAGGACGAGGTGGTGGAGGCGGAGGTGGTGGAGGCTCAATGAGCGTGTGCTGCGAATGCGTAGGTGGCTCTACCTGGATCAGCTCTAGCAACATACGCAGACTCTGTTGTCTCAGGTCGCTCTCAATCGTGTTGGATGGCCTTGGAGGCTCCGGCAGAGGGTCGGACCGCTTCTTCTTGATCCTGGGCGTGTCTGGATCCTCACTGCTCAGCTGTCTCGAGCGGCTTGCGAGCCTAGCCAAAGCCTCTGGGTCGTTCTCCTCGAGATACTTGCGCCGCTTGGAGTCTTTGCGTGGGGGCGGGGCGCGTTCCTCGTATGTCTTGTGTATGGGCACATGCTTGTAGAAGACGTCGAGTGTCTGCTTGGTGGCCGAGAACTTGATGGACAAGACACCTTTACAGTCGTAGACGGGCTTGGTGGCACGTTTGCCCAACTTGGCACCCTTGCCGTTGGCAGCGCGGTCCTTGTTGAGGAGCGAGTCGTTGCAGTAGTAGGAGAAGCGGAAGCTGTCGTCCTCCCTGCTGTTCCAACAGTTGTGGAAGCTGTAGCGGTATCCGTCGATCTTCTGTATCGTGTCGACGCAGCACTTGGCGACTGCCCTCTGTTTCCGCATCTTCTCCTTGGGGTCCGCTGTCGGCTGCAAAGCCTCTCGTATGCTCAGGGCGGTTTTCTGCTCCGCCGGCTTGGGCGCGCCATTGTTGGGCTCGATGGACTCGGTGAAGTTGTGGCCCAGGGCGAAGTTGGCGTCCGAGAGGGACTGGTACTGCGAAGGACCAGCAAAGTGTGCGGGCTGGTAGCCGGGCGGCGCATGGCTGTATTGGTGTATGGCGTGCGACTGTTGCTGTTGGGGCGGCGGCGGCGGCGGGTGAGTTGCCTGATGAGGCTGCTGCGATGGGGTCGGCTTAGTTGGTGAAGGGACGGCAAAGGACGTGTCGATGTCGAAGGCAAACTGGGCTTCGGTGTGCTCAGGCTCTTCTGGCGGGCTTCTTAGGTATTCGCGTAATGACGTCTCGAATTGGTCGAGGGAGCGGATGGGGCCGTAGGGCACCGTCTTCGCGAGCGCGTCTCTGGGCTGCCGTCCACGCGCGAGTTGCACGGGGGCCTGGGGCCAGAGAGCCTGGTCGTTGGCATCGTGGATACTCGTGGGTTGAGCATGGGCAGCGGCCATGTCAAAGTGGAGCCCGCCCCCGACCAGGTTTGGGGTAGTGAATAAGGAGTTTTTGAGATAGCCGTCTACCGAGACCGTGCAAGCCTTGGCTCCAGCCCTAGACGCGATGATCAACACTTCATGGCCGGTGTGACGGGCTGCTGGAGATGGGCTAAACACGCAAGGACACGGCAGGGAGTGAGCCAAAGTACAGAGGGCAGCAGTGCAGCAGTTTCAATGATTCAACATACTCCAGCCGCCATGAGAAGCACGGGTGTAGGCATCGGAGCGTGCCTAGCCCGATGACGCATACACCCGAACCCGCATCAAATCTCCAGGTTGACATCGCCCTCGCTCCCACCTTTCTCCGCCTTGTCCTATAAGCTGCAGACTAAATACACTGCTCACATCACGCGCATACAGGTCAAATCCATAACTCTTTCTTGGTTTCTCTGAGCTGCAGACTAAATACTTTCGTCATCCCATGGACATGTTGTTATGACATCGATACTATGAGATCGTTGTCCTCAGATCTGAATTTCATCCCACCTCCCATGCTTATGTGACATCAATACTATGAGATCGATGCCCCCGAGCCCGTACCTATCTCTACCCGTGTTTCTATCCCTGCATACCAAATGACAATATCTGCTATTGTTACCGCGTCCAGCATCCACTCGCTGTCTTCGACCAATATGTATTCAATGGCGTTCCTTCGTTCTGGCCACTCTATTGTTCCCTATTTGCAGGTCAGGCAGGGCTCGCTTCATCTCGCATGTCGTGTTGAGCTGATCGGAATCTGTCATATCATCCTCGGGGGATGTAGCCTGGGCCGAACGAAGAGAAAGTATGAGGAGTCTGTGGGTAGCCTTGCTGTTGCTGTCCAGGATATCTGTGCGCCTGCGAATTGTCGCGCGGCGCCGAATATGCCTGGGGTCCATTGGGAGGACAGGCAGTTGGGTAATGTGTTCCGAACCCCGATCCATGAGCTGGCGAGACGCCGCGTAGCGTCATGTAGGGCGTGTTTCGAGGTGAGCGTGTAGATTGTGGGCCGGTGAATGATGCACCTCGACCTTGCTGGAAATTTGACCCGGTATAGCGAGGACCAGTAGGGATAGGTTTTTCGTGGCCTGGTAGTGAGCCTCCGGGCGTGAAGGGTGGCGCGTCGGGGTTGATCTGCTTTCCAGGGACAATGGACACACTGGAGCTCGGGCTGACCTGCTGAGAGTTCTGTGTCGTGGTCGCGTCGGCTCCAGACTTTGCAAGGGTAAAATGCTCATCTGAGCAGTCATCCTCCATTGACCTCGTCTCGCAATTTGGAGCATGTTTGTCGAAGAAAGCAGTGTTGTACTTGAAGATCTTTTTGCAATGACCACAACGTACAGCAAGCTCCCAAAAAGCCTTGCAAGTCTTCAAGTGATCGTACATGTCTTTCTTCGTGTACCACTGGAGACAGAGATTGCACTTGGTGTGCTCGACCACTTTCCCGCTCTCCAACGTCCGATCTTCGTGGTTCTCTGCCGGACGTACTATCCCAATGCTGCTGAACCTAGCATCGAAACATGGAAGCTCCAGCTCATACACTGCGTCATCAAAGTAGGGTTTCTTTGAGTTGATGTCTCTCCAGTGACTGTGCCAAAACTCACGCTTCTTTCGACGGGGGATGTTCAGTTCGCCAGACAGTGGAACTGAAGATGTCATCGACATTTGTGACAGCTCTTCATCGCCCTCAACAGTGATAGCTTGTGAAGACGATTCTGGCGTACTAGCTGGATAAGCCTCCTGCTGTAAGCTATCTTGCTGACTGCCTTCGGTCGAGCCAGTGGTGCCATGGTTGGGGTCATCATCGTCGTCAACCTCACCACAAGTCTTAGAGACGCTTTGCTTGCACAAGTCCCTGACTGTCTTCTCCTTCTCGAGCTGGGAGATCCTTTCTTTAGCAGTCTCGAGAGCGATGTTTGCTTCACGCGCCTCTTGGCGCAGAATTTCGGCGGCAGCCTCACTGGCTGCTAGCTGATCCATAAGCTTGGTCTTTTCGGCATCTGCAGACTGAAGCTTATTGGTAAGATCGACCATATCTAGCCGGAACGCTCGTAACTGCTTCTGAACTTCGAGGTCATGAGCAGCTTTCTCATCTTGGAGAATGCTGACAGTCGACTGTGCTTCAGATAGCTCATCTTGGAGTTGGCTCTTTGCTTGCATCTCTGTGCTCCGGTTCTTCTCTAAGACGGCGACAGACTCTTCGAGACGCTTGATGATCTCATTACTCATCTTGGTGTTCTGATTTCCCTCCAACTCTGCTTTGTCTAGATCTTGGATGAGTTTATCAGAAAGGGTACTGGATTCAGATAGTTGCCCTCGGAGCCGGTTCTTATCTTCGTTGGACATGCGCAGGTCGTTCTCCGCCAACTTAAGCTCAGTCTCAATCCTGAACTTGGAAGCCGTGACATCACCAAGCTGTAGCTTCAAATGTGCTATGAGTTGTCCATCTGTGATTTTGGAGACCTTAAAATCGTCGAGCCGTAGCATCAAATATGCTATCAGTTGCTCGTCGGTAAGCCTCTGCGCTTGAGCCTTTCTGTAGTTGCTAAACTTCTTGTGTAAGAAGATAGCCCCTGTAGCCACAAGGCCAGCTGTAGCAAGGCCGAGAGCACCACCGTTGCTAACAATGCTAGCATTCTGCGCTTGTGTGTCGTTCAAAAGAGTTGTGGTAGTGTATGGTGCTCCCGAAATATGTGATGAAAGTACCGGAGTAGGTGTGATGAGATGTGACGTCGCTTGGTGTGCGTGTGTACCGTCACTGCCAATATGATGGATGATAGTGGGGATGTCTGGCGTGGTCTGAAAATGTGTGTTTGCGCCATCGGTTTCCATGCTACTAAGAATATCTGAGAGTTCTGGGACGCTTGTACGGGCGGTGATCTTAGCGGTAGAAGATAGTTCTGGCTCCAAGATTCCAAAGATCTGGGTTGTCGGATGGCCAGGGCTCATGTATTTATCAGGTGTGTACAGACCCCTCCCTAACTCAGGCGCGGCGAGGTGTGCTATGAAATGGTTGAGCCGCTTGATATCGATGTCGATTGGAATCCCTCTCTCGTAGACAGTAATGGCTGCTAGACCCGCTGCGGCTGTGGCAAGGAAAGGCTTGATGACTGAATGGTTCCAATTCTGCAATAGAATGGCCAGCTGTCTGCCGTTGAGTTCTGCCATGTTACTGTGTACAACTGCTGCAAGAACAGCGATTGCTTGGGTGGTACTAGGCGAAAGGTTGGTATGCGGGCCAGTGAAAATGAGTCTTAGGTGCAATGCGGCCTGAGTTCTAGCTCGACCGTCGTAACCAACCAAACTGTGGTGGATTTAGGAGAATAGTACGTAGGTCGGGCGGAGTGGAGATGGGCGTACAAGATTCTTCGTCCGCGGTCGCTTCACTGTGAGCGAGTGCAGCGACAGATTTGTCGCAGTGACCTATATAACTCGAATTGATGGGCTGAGTCGCAGAGCGGCTGGATTATATCGTGGGTCCAATTGCGTAACAAGAGAAGAATAGGTGGGAGGGTTCTTCGGTAGCTGGAGCGGAGGGAGGTCTTGCTAGCGCTTTGCCAAGGACAGAGTGGGTAAAAGTGTCACATTCACTAAGGATTGGGAAAGCCCACGGTGACGTTGTCCGGTTCACCTCTCGGAGGATGCTTTGACGATATGTATTTCTCGGCGCTAGCTGTAGTATGTCGTCGTGGAGCTTCAGCCGTGGATAGAAAGGGTTGGTTTAGGGATCTTCTTTCTGTTGTACAGAAAGGTTGGTCTAAAGTTGCCATTGCCTTTGTAAGCTTTCACAATTCACCGCAAACACTATAATACCAAGAGGGAGCGGATCCGAGAAGCCATACCGACATCGCCTATTTCACCTATCGTCTTTCATCGTCTAACCCCCAATACTCATAGTGTACATTGGCTAAACCCTAACACCAAAGGCAGCCAAGTGACTTGAAAGTGAAAAGGAAGAGCAGAAACATATTTATGTATGCAAGATAGCACGTTGAGCAATCTGGAAGTAAATGGGTGTACGAAACATCTCTGACGAAAACGTCTTGTGGCGACTAGACTGCGGGAGAACGCAACTACATCACGGGAGCTGACAAGACTTGATATTGAGCAAAGAGAGACACTGCGTACATAAGGAAGAGTGCAGATATGTGCGATTAGAATGACACGAGAAGAATGAGCGATGATGCGAACAATCCAGACTGAACGGGTATTCTTCTGACTGAGTGAGTTGACGATACGAAAATGGCTGCGGCTCTTACTGCTGGGATGCCGTGGAAAGGGGCCAGCCGAGCTCGAATTGCTAAGCTCTTCTCGAGGAAGCCGACAGGAGCGGAGAACCGTAGTGAGAGCATACTGGCATTTTCATCCAGTGTGACTGTTCTTCAATGAACATGTCTTGTTGACTGGTGGAAATCACGTGTAGGGTGTTTTCCTGGAGCTCGTGGTATAAACTTCAATGTAGTCGTGTTGATCCACTGTTTGTATCGATGCTTCAGCTGCCGAAAGTCGAAGTGAATTCAGCAGGGCATATTATCGGAACAGTGTTTGATGACAGCGACGCCCACAAGCCTCCTTATATGCTTCGAAAATAAAAGGTGTCGACGTGACAAAGTCTTTTGTCCTCCTCTTCCAGACTGGCAACATCTACCAGTCATCGTCACTATCCTCTCCTGCGATATCTCCTCCTTTGATCCTATCCACTACCCTCTTTACACCCTTCTCCACACTCTCGCCCTCAATTGCACAGCCTTCATGCCAAACGATGGCATCCATGACGCCGTCCATGAACCACATCAGCGTCGGCACGAAGCTCACGTCCAACATATTGCCTAGTTCTGGCAGCGAGTACATATCGAAGCAATAGATGTCGACGACGTCGTACTGCTCGTAGGATGTTGACGGAAGTAGTTTTTGAAGGGCGGTAGCAACCTCATTAGTTGTTTCGTCTTCGGGCCAATAGGCTAGTAGAACAGTTTTTCCTGCTGTGGCCTTGATGCAGGCTACATATTCGGCTAGGTTGGTAATTTGGGAGAAGTGCGCCATGGTGATAGGGTCTTGGTGGTGGTTGGGCGATGGTGCAAGAAGTTTATGGATCTAGGGCTAAATTATTAGCTAAGCTTTGGCTAGTCGTCCTGAAGGGTCCACCCGATGCGCCCACCCACGCTCTGCCGAATGGCTAGCATGCTGCCTTCCCTCACATTCTCTCTCGCAACAAGACGGGTCTTAAAACGGTGCGCGGCTGAGTTCCGCTCCAATCGTCGCGTCTCGATTGCAGTGGTAATATGTGAGACTGTGCGACGCGTCGCCGATTTCGACGAAAACATCACGTCATATACAAGCTGCAGTAGCAGGGCTGTATGTGCACCAGCCTGTAGGTCAGTAGTTGGTGACATGCCAGCAAGCCACGTCAGGTATCTAGCATTCAGCCTTGCATCTACATGCACCGGTCGCTGACAGACAAGCAGCTGTAGCATAACTTCTTCCTTAACCCTCCCGCTATCGAATACGTTACGCGCGATAACTACAGTCTCGACGACCTGCTAGAAACGCATCTCACCACATGCTGATGCAGAAATACCGCATCGAGCGCGCTGTCACCTACAATTTGAAAACTACCCAATCTGATCGACATACAAAGGGTTATGCTCAGGAGCGAGAGATAACACAATACTGGTAGTGCAAATGATGGCATTCTGAGATGCCTAGAGATCAGAGGGTCTTATGGGACCTCGCTAGATGAATATGAGAACACTGGTGGCGACTATTGAAGTGGACATGTAACAACTTCTGCATTGTCTTTTGCGAGAGCCCGTTGCTCTTCCCCACATCGCTTTGCCTATTCAGCACCAACACCTCGCGTCCTAGTAACAGTGCTAGTCACAGTACTGGTTCTGACAACTGCACTACTGACTGTCCTTGTAACCGTAGTACTGGCAGGTCCCTTGGTAATAAAGCACGAGCAAGCCGACGAGATCTCGCCAGGACCGAGACCAAGCGAGATGTGGATGCCACCGGGGAGACCGAGTGAGATGTCGAGTTGGCGCTTGCGCACTGGAAGTTCAGCGGGGCAGGCGGCGTCATAGAAGGTGTAGGGAGACATGGGGTTGTAGTTGGTATTTTCCGCCCTATTGACACAGTCAGTATGCGGCAGCACTCTATCAAAGGGACCAAACTTACGCAGTGACGTCGAAGAGCATGCAGTTTGCTTCTCCGTAGCCGAAGCTCTTACACTTACTATCAGCCTTGCAAAGCGCGCTGCAAGCATCGAAAGTATTCTTTGTGCCGCTAGACTCGAAGTAGTACGCTGGCGTGGTCTTGACGTACGCGACAATACCGCAGCTTGGAGCGGCTGTGGGTGTCCTGCAAACAGATCAGCTTTCTGCAGAATGCGAAAGGTCACAGCTGAATGACTTACGGAGATGGGCTCGAAACGAGGGTCGAAGACACTACTGTGGAAGAAGGCTGTACAGGTGTAGCCGACGATGATGGCTTGGGCGATGAAGACGACGACGGTGGCGAAGGAGGAGATGAAGATGTTGACTTCGATGTTGGCGTCGGTGTGGGCGTTGGCTGAGGAGTGGGTGTAGGGGTAGGTGTGGGAGTAGTTGTCGGCCGGATGGTAACTGTAGTCTTCTTGGTCGTGGTAGTTGTCGTGGTGTAGCCATTGGTGACGGTGGCTGTTGCAGTCCCTGAACGAAGGATGTTGGAACAGAACAATGCCGCCTCAGACGTATGCCCTTCAAATCCATCGAGACCGCAATCCTCAACTAATCATGCGTTAGTCTACCCTTTTGCCTAAGGGAGCAGTTCATACCATCCGGATACCCCCATTGCCTTCTTTGACGACCAGACGCTTCCACGCTCGCAGCAAGAACTGCAGCAAATGCGACGGAAAACCTCATACTGGCTTTTTCAGACGCCCTGATTAATGCGGAACTTTTGGGTGGGATGGATTGGTATCAAAGTTGACGCTGAGCACGACTGTCAACTGGTAGAGTCTCTACTTATAAGCAATATGTAAAAGCTTCGACAGCAGAATTCTTACACTAAGTAAAGCGGCTGAGCCGTATGTTGCATCTCGCATTTCATTTGTGATAGATGAAATGCAGGCTTCTTGCAGTCTCGGTGATCTGGCTGGGGCAAGATGGGCTAGAACGCGTACATTGCTGCTACCATAGTAAATGAACACGAGAATATGACCGCCTCCCGCCGGCAGATGTTGTTCGACACATGTTTACCGAGCAGAGGTTTACGCTGGTTTCTGCAGCCAGACATGTGGCTTTCCCGGTGCTATGGTCGAAGATTGAGTTGTCCAATCAAAAACGCTCTTGAAATTGAGACCGAAATATCGAAAAGTATGGGGAATTAGGCTTAAAGTAACAGGCGGACAGGGCTGCCGTAGTTGGGTCCATTATCCCTACACATCCCGGCAAAATACATCTGCGTCTGGCCATAGCATGGAAATCGCTACGCAAAAATAGCGACGATGCCACCTAACACAGGAACTATCACTAGACCTCTTCGCTAGCGTACGTACCAGATCTAGCTTCCTGGACTCAGGCGATCTGTACAGCTTCGCACCACCAAGTATGGGCCAGATGCTCTAATCCATCCGCGCCCTTTACCCAACCTGGACCGGACCGGCGCGGACGCGACAACTTCGCATTACGAAAGAAGGGTAGAAGAACTTGGTTTGAAGGTTTTCATACACGCCCAACAAGGTAATGCTATAGTAACTATTCTAAGCGAATGACAAACCACAGCCGCTTCGTGTTGTCCAAATGAAATTTCAAATGGTCTCTGCTTAGCGGCTTGAGTTTGGCCTCGACGTTGAACTTGATGCCGAGATTATCTCCTATTTCTTTCCACATTCTTTTGAAGCTTTCCACGTTATGCCGATACATTGTGCCTGTAGGGCCATCCTTCTCGAGAGGCTCAGTGGCTCCAACTTGACGACCGAGTATCATCGAACCCGGCTGTGGACGTAGCAACGCTACAACGGCTTTGGATACTTCGACTTGTTTCTCGTATCCCCATAGGTGGAAGAAAGATCCAGCATAGATTATATCGATTTGGCCTTTGACATCCGTAAGTGCCGACTTGGAATCGAAGATGTCCGCTACTAAGAACTTGGTCTTAAGCTTCGCTCGATCGCGGAATAGACTATAGCCTAGTTCGATGAAATCCGGCTGCAAATCGCAGCCGTAAATGTTCTCAGTTGGAGCGCCGTCGTTCGCAAGCTGCCGAATAGTTTGACCGAAGCAGCAAGCCATGTCTAAAAGCTTCTGACCTTTGCGTATGCGTTCGACAATCTCATCGTACTCGTCGGGCAGCTCGGAAAAGCTCGGCTCAAGGAATCGAAACTGTCCTATGCAAGGATATGGGTGAACCTTCCAAGCTTCATCACGGAGTTTGATAACATGGTCTAATACGTCATCGGATGGGATTCCACTCCACGTTTCCAGAAGCCGCCGGGTCTCGGAAGGTATATGATCGTGTGAAGGGTTCTCTTCGAACCACGAAGGAGCTGTGATCTGAGCGTTATTGATTTCAGACATTATCGTAGAACACAAATGGTTCATGAAACTGGATGACGGGTGTGTTGGTGTGTTGTATCTTAGTGCTAGCGGCAGGGTTTCGCGCTAGTGCTTATTTCCGAGCCCACGCATCGCACCTTCATCCCTTGACTTTGTCTCAACTCAACAAACCACAATCTCGCCTATCACACGCACGACATCACGTATCGCTCTCGCAAAAGCTGAACAGACCAGGAATTTTGCACAGCTCCGTGTGACAAAACATCCGGATTGAAACTGTTCTCAAACCTGCGAGACTCTATACTTCACAACGTCCATGCAAGTCCCAAAGCATATCGATCCAGCCATTGTATCTACTCATCGAACTGTATTGAAATATATATGGCCCACTAAAGACGTTCAGGAGCCTGGACGCTACTGTAACCTCACCAATTGTACTATGTCTTGTCCACGGTGTTTGATCTCGTCGCCAGAACAAATTATTGGCTTCCCCTGAATCATCAGTCAAGACATAAGTGGAACTGTGCTTCGCATAACCCAGTAGGATTCCGTCATTTGTATCACGAAGCGGTCAGCAAGCTGATTGGATCTACTCCCAGCGGATCAATACTGCAACCAAAATGACATGTCTCTTGTTGTTAAAAACGTCATTGTTAGCGAGCCTGGCAAAGGCCCGCACGTATGGTTTTCAGGGTACATCCGGGATGTACGTACCCACCTGCTCCGTTGCTACGTCGTCGACAGTCATATTCAACATCGATTCCCGACCTATCCATCGTGACAGCAATATTTCCATAGCGATCGCGTCTTCCCTTTAACGCTCTCAGGACTCACGAACCCACCGTTTTTAGACGATCTATGACGACCATGTACATCCAAGACAAACAAAAAGAAGATACATGGGGAGTATGGGAGGGAAGGCTGACGTGAACGAGACCTTCCCTTCCGGCGTACTCTTACACAAGCTGGCCAGCTCGGCACTCACTGTACCTTTTTTGCGTTTCTAAAACGAACAGTAGGTAGAAGGGATCATATATAATGATGCCCGGGGGCAGGTGAGATACATCGGCTATCTGTTACGCCCAGCCTATCAGCCATATCATCTACAAAATGCCGGAAAAGCTTCCTAGCACCCTTGGACGCTCCCCTTCTCAGAGCACTGAAGATACCGAATCGAAGAAGCTGCAGAAACATGATGGAGGTCGTGCAGCGTGGCTCACGGTTGCGGGCTCAATCTTAGTTTACTACGCTTCCTTCGGAGTTATGAACAGCTTTGGCTTCTTTCAGAACTACTATAGTAGTGACTTCTTGAAACGGACGCCGCCATCGACTATAGCATTTATCGGGACGCTCCAAATGGCACTCATGAATTTGCTGGCTGCTCTTTCTGGCGCTCTTTGTGATCGGTACGGTGTGAAGGTAAGTACACTTCACAAGCTTTACTTGCCTAAGACTCATAATGCATAGTACCTCTATCTTGGCTCAGGCACTGGTACTGCACTGGCTCTTATCATGCTGTCGTCCATACATCGTGGCCAATTCTGGCTGGTTCTCATGACACAAGGTTTGCTCATGGGTCTTACTATAGCATTCGGTGTACAGCCAGCACTCACAGTCGTGGGCCAGCACTTCAAAGAGCGGCGCGCTTTGGCGATGGGGCTTGTATCAACAGGGTCAGCACTTGGCGGCATCGGCTTCCCGCTAATGTTCGATCAACTCCTACCGAAAGTGGGCTTTTCAAATTCGTTACGCCTAGCTGCTGTCAAGATTGCGTACGTACCAGTGCTCCACAAGTCGATCGTCAGCTAACCATCGAAGTGTTTGCTACTTCATCGGTTTGTGTGTCTCCACAAGCAAACCTAGTGGTAAGCCCGATCGCAAAGGTTTCGCGTCGCTTATCGATTTCAGAGGATTCCTTGACAGGAGCTATGCAGTACTATGCATCGGCACGTGGTTTGCTATCCTCGGCCTTTGGATCCCCGCATACTATCTCAAATCATATGCCAACGCCGTATATACTGGAAACACTGTTAGCAAATACTTTTTGTGCATGTTAAACGGCTTCAGCATCGTCGGCGCAACCTTTGGTGGGTTTCTAGGAGATCGTATCGGCCGATTGAACCTACTATGGCCCATTACCTTTGTCTCTGGTTGCTTGTGTCTCTTTCTCTGGCTACTCAGCACTTCCATGGCGACCCTCATATTCTTCGTTTGCGTATATGGCTTCTGCACTAGTAGTGTGACTGCTCTTCCGCCCTCGGTAATTGGCCAGATCACATCTGACGATAAACTCGGAGCCCGCATCGGTGCTTTCTACAGCGTGATAGCTATTGCAAGTCTCATTGGTACGCCTATTGGTGGTTCCCTCATTACGGACGACAAAGCAAAGGATGGATATCAATGGTTGATCTCTTTCTCAGTAGGCTAACTTTCGACTATTATCGCACGAACACTCTAGTCACTAACAAGCGACAGGGAGCTTCGCTCATCATAGGATCAATCTTCATGCTCATCAGCCGCCGATTGCTTGACAAAGACCTTGGCAAAAAATGGTAGATGTGTATTGTCCTCAACACTCAACCTTACATAGAGCTTGGATGCATGACCTTTCTGCATAGCACCTCGCATCGACACTTGGGTGGCCAGAAGTCGTCTTGAATGATCTCTCGCTCCTCTATACCCACGTCTTCTCTTTCAACACCGGGTCCAACACTCTCCCTCAGCTCTACGCCTCCCACGTCTTCCCTGTATAGCTCTTCAAGCTCCTTGATAGTTATCTTCAGACCTCTTTTAGCACATGCAAGGAACTCGATGAATCGTCTCTCCTCTTCGTTATCGATGAACCCATGCATCTTAAAGTTCTCCAAGGGAGCCAACACTGTAGCCGCTCTCTCAAAAATGAGTCGATGCAGGACTCGAGGGCAGTTAAAAGGCTCGCCATAGAAGAGCCTAACCGGTTGTCTGTAGTCGTCTTCTAGAAAGCCTTTAGCATCGGGTAATTTGATGATAAGCTCATTCAGATATGGAAGTCGCTCAAAGACTTCATGGTCTAGATGATACGACTTCCAGTGCTGTGAAAAAGATCCCGTCGTGACCTTGAAGAAGTGTAGAGAGTCCAGAAAGGAGAATTCGAGGTACATTTTGCGAATACCATGATAGAAAGTGGCGTATTGGCTGAGATGTGGGTATATTCTTGGAAATGATTTGTACAGATTCGCCAGCTCCCAAGTCTTGTCATCGTGTGGAACGCCATTTGGCTCGATCAGCTGACGGTGCTTACCCAATCGGCGGATACAGCTCTTGAAGCTATAGAAGTCCCTGGCTACAATGCAAAGTCCATTGCTATAGGACATCTCTTTGCTTCCCACAAAGCACAAATGTAGACAGATTGCGCGGACTTGGTGTGAGACGCGGAGGAGTGAAGTCCATTTGTCGAACTGCCCGGTGACTTCGGGTGCGCCTTTAGCTTTTTTGGCTCTCGATTTGTTGGACATCATTGGTGGTGGGGAGCGATGCATGCAGAACTGGATGATCCGCTCTTTCAGCTCTGTTGGTAGTCGCATCCAACTGAAGATCTGGCTGTTGGCACTCCACCACCGAAACATGACTGCGTCGCCTACTGGCTCATCACGTGTCGGGAACGCGATGCCGAGGAACCATTGCAGTGATACGAACCTATCTTTTACGTAGACCTCCACATCTTCTCCGAACACCCTTTCTTTTCCGCGCTTCTGGATCTTGGGCCGACAAGCAGCCAGGACTGGACTGATGCCGAAGTTATAGAAGCCGATGTAGAGCATGAAGTTCTGGTCAGGTTCGGCGAAGCGTTCAGGATTACCCTCGTGAATTGCTTGGCATACCTCAATTGGTATATCAAAATGATTCGCAGATTGGAGGCGATACTTGAACACAGATTCTCGGACCTGATCGACGAATGGATGCTGAACTGACAGGGGCGCTTGCCACTCATTGAGTGAGATTTTGAGTATGGCGCTCATTCTGAAACTTAGACGAGGTATATTTTGTGGCAATGGGGATGGTTTGTTGAGCTTCGATCGTCTGCTCATAGTATTGGAGGAGAGTAAGTGGTGTTCAATTGCTGGTTCAATGACAACAAGTGTTCGTAGCCTTGAAACTGGTTACAACTGGAAGTATACATTCGAGGGGATGCAAACTAAGACGAGGCATTTGTACAGAGCGAGACTACAGGTCGAGTCGAAGGTGAGGTAAGTCTGTACCGGCAATAGCGCTAGATGTTAGGCAACGACTCACACCGCACAATCACTAAGTTATATGCGAAGTGAGAGGAGCAGATAAAGCTGCTGCTTTTGCATCTTTCTGTGCTTTTCAGGTAACGACGACCAGTAATACACTCCCGATAGCGACGATGAAGGATCGTACAAAGTTTCCGTGAGAGACCCGAAAGCTGTTCCTCTGCAATAGAATGCATTTAAAACGCGTCTCAGTCAATTTTAGATGAGACTAAAGCTTTTGTCGTCGTGATCTGTTCTCTCGTACCGATCGTCTATTCGGTAGTACGACATCACGGTAAGTACCCATCGTCACACAGCGAATCCAAGACTTGATAGGTTCTATTAATCTGTTGGAAATGGGTTCAACCAAAGTATACGCAGAACCTCGAAAGGACATGCGCCTCAAGATGTAGATCCCAGCCGTGGTTCCCTCTCTATCTCAAGACTAATCTCAGGCGACCGAGCTACCAAGCTGTTGGACGGAGCATCCATTGTAAATCTCTACCAACATGAGATGAATTGTTCAGAAGCGCCTACCTTGCAGGCACGGGCCTTACCAGTCCTCCGTTTGTACCCCCAGAACGTCCCACGGTTACACATTATTCCCGACTCATTTCACCAATCAGGTTGTACACGGATAAATCCTTCCGCCTCTCTCATGGCCGCTACTCTTATCTCCCTACTCGCGATTACCACTTGAACCGCTTGGTGAGCAACGAAAACTTGAGATCGCCGCGATGAAGATACTGGGCTTCTTCTACGCCCTCTCTGGCGTACTCGGCCTCACCTTCACTGCGGTCCCCACCGGATGTACCAAAGAAGGACTGTATTGCCTAGACTCCTCTGGAGCCAACAGCGATGTCTTCAGAATCCTCACGTGCAAGAATGGCAACACCCAGGTCGTGAGCGAGTGTCTTGCAAAGGAAACCTGCATCGACAACCCCACACCGCACTGCACCCCAGAGAGCAGCCCTCAGAAACCATCGCTCGTCAGTTCTAAGCCGATCCCTAACAGCTACATTTGGTCAACCACAACTTCGGATACGATGTTGCCAACCCCGCCAGTGTTTCCCCAGGTTCCATCGACAGTCGACAACCCCTACACCAGCAGGACAATTACCAACCAGCTAGCAGCGCGGCAAACCCAATCGCCCTTCCGCATCCTCATCTTTCCAGAGACAAGCATACGCGGAAAAGGCACTTCATTTGACGTCGATCGTTGTATCCGGCATTCCGAAATCCCGTGGCCCATCCGCTCCCTAGTTGTGGAACGTTACTTCGAGTGCATGTTTTGGGATGGGGACGGCTGTTCAGAAAGAACTGGTCCGCGGCGAAAGGAAGGAAGCGCTACGGATCGTAAGATGATCGGGGATGTGAATTTTGGGTTTGAGATTGAAAGTTTAAGGTGTCATGCTGTTTCCGGCTGAAGAGCAAGGAAAAAGTCTGATGTAAACATGTTGAAAATGATGGATCTCAGACCCAGAATCGGATCACGTCAGCAAACCTCGAGTTGGGCGGGACCAAAGTATGTGCATTGATGCATCAATCATGTTGTGATGTATTTCGTAAGGAGGATACGGGATCGCCAGCAGTCGGATCTTTTCTCCTGTCAGCAGTCGCAAGGAAGGTAGCCCCAGACCACTTACACCATCCAATCTCCAATGGCAATAGCGATTCGGCATCTCTCGTCCATGACGGTATTCTATAACACCGGGGTATATCTCATAACCTTGTCTTCCAATTCCCCCACCCAAACTCTTGTGGCTCTTTTCAAACTATGTTCAAACCCATCCATGACCTCACCATACGTCCTCGGCGCTGACCTCGAACTTCTCCCCGTCGACTCTGACGCACTCCCCATCTTTGTCCCTACTACAGCTCTTCCGCATATCCAACGCGTCCTCGCCATCGTTATAGTAGTCCTTGACAACCCTGTAAACGCTATATCCCATCTTGCGATATAGCTCTTTGGCAATCTCATTGCTCCGGCGTACAAACAGATCAACGAACCATGCGTTCGCTGCGTTGGACGAGCGCTCCAATGCAGACGACAACGCCGTTGCGTGACCGAGGCGGCGCGCGCCGGGCGCAACAGTGAGGGCGGTGATGTGACCGTGGTAGGGGAGGTAGTTTGGGTATTGGACGCCGGTGGTCGAGGGCTTGTAGGGCTTTATTGGGGGTTCGAAGGGCGAGGACTCGAGTTTGCCTAGGACTGGCGTTCTGTTAGTGTTGCTCCATCATCTTCAGACATGACATGTGGAATGAGAAAGTCTCAGGAGTCGTACTGTATCCTTCAATCTCGCCGTCCATGCCCTCTATTATCTGACAAAGCTCGGGCCATTTTGTCAGGTACTCGAGGTAGAAACCAATGTTGTACGTTTCGGTGAGGTGGTCGAGGTTGCATTCGGATACTCGAAGGAGGTCGGTAGGGCGCATGGGCCGAATTGTCGCCATTCTGCCGTATAGGCCTGTGCTGGCACGTAGCGACACGTCGAGGATGGTGGTGGGGTGGGCGTGGGTGCGACGTGTTGGAGAGATGATGCATGGCGGCACTCCCGCGGGCAAGTCTCGCTTAGACTCGCTGGTTGCTTTTGCGCCGTCATCTCACCTCGACATGCTAACCCTGATTTCGTACAAGGTATATTATGACTTATCAACATATGAAATCCGTTGCTGACATCAGTGCCATGTCTAAGCTATTGTTACAGAATGGGTATAGAGCAAATCAACAACAGCGCAGTACCGCCCGACCACCCGGTCTATATATCCGTCATCCGTCTTTCATGTGTTATTATTCCAAAGTCCGCTCCACTTTAGTATATTCTTGTTGCACCATCTCTCTTTTCCACACGCACAGGCGTTGCCGTTCCCACGGCTATCTCTTCCTCTTCCTGAACGGAAGTCAGCAAGGTTAGATGCGGAAAGAGTCAACACTGGCCTGGGGACCATTGACATAATCCTTGACCGACGAACCAGCCGACCGCAGTCCGCGCTGGTCGTAACTCATTGGGCTTTGCGCCCGGTGCGGACTTGATGGGTTGCGCAAGGCATCCAGGTGACGGGATACGCCATTGCCGTTCGCATAGCCGTTCGTGTAAGGAGACGCTCCGCGTGAAGATTGGGAATACGAGCTGGTTTCGTTGCCAAAGTCGTCGAACCGGGGAGTTTGGTATGGTCGCGAGGTTTGCGCTAGGTTGTTGCCGCGGATGTCGTTAGGAATAGGCGGTGCCTGGCGGAATCTACGATGCGGCGCAATGTGCTCTTTCTCGTCAACGAGCACAACCATCCACACGCCCACTGATCCGTTCTGGCCGAGCAAAGGAGTGCAATGTATCCACCGGGGTCGGCCCTCTTCGTAATGGTCTTCGAGGTCTGACACGGCGTGCGGTAGCCAGCGAATCTTCGCCGTAACACCGCGCGACCCGTCTGAAAGCGCGTCGCTGAGAGACTCTCGGACACGGTTGCTCCCACCAATGCGATCGAGGAACCGTGATTGGAGGATGCCTGGAACACGAAGGGACGGCGATGTAAAGAGGATGCGCAGGGATGGCGCAGGGCGCACAACAAGGTACTAGTATATGTCAGTCTTGTATCATCACACACAAAGGGACGGCCACTTACATGTTTGTACGGACCAGACAGCCTACCGTCTGGCTTGGGTGCTGGCTTCTCAGCCCTATCCACGTCATACGTCGACTGATCCTGTATCAGCAGTCTGGGCTTGTGCTGCATATTCGCTTCATCCTGCTCCTCTAGATGTTCCCTATGCATGTTGCCGCCATACTTCCGCACTGTGTCCAGCTCCGTGTTGTTGAACATTTCACTGAGTGCTTGGAACTCATCTTTTGGCGGCTCCTTCTCTTTGTGGCCCTCTTCCTCGTCAAGCATGCGCCGGAAAGCCTCGAGATCGGTGCTGTCCTTCACAAGACCAGAGATGTCGATTTGCGCGCCAATGAAATAACGGAGATTCCCTCGTGAGTCGAGTAGAGGCGCAATCATCAAAAGATTCATAAATGGCGATCCATCACGGCGACTGTTGTGTGGTTAACAATGTGCTAAACACACAAGGTCATACGAGTTACTTACTAGTTCAGGAACACTTCACTGTGATCTCTTCCTTCCCGAGCAGCCAATCCAAAACGCTCTACACTGCTCCGATTCGTCTTTGGACCTTGAAGGAAACGACAGTTGCGCCCAATCGCGTACCCAACGCCATACTGCGTCGTACGATGAAATTCTAGTATCAGATTAGCAGATGCTCATTTTCCATGTGGGGGAGGTTCACTAACCTTCGGACGCGAAGATGATCGGATTGTCGGTCCTGGACGGGTCTGTCAGGCAGAAAACTTCGGCCAAACCCTCGCTAGCCTCACGAAGCATCGGAGGTAAATTCCCTGTGACGCGCTTCGCGATGCTCACGCTAACGACTTGGGTGAAGACGTGCGTAATAAACGCCGGAAGATCGTCACGGACCAGGACATCAAAGGCCCGATTGGCTTTTTCCTCCAGGACTGCATTCATTGTATTTCGTGCTGGAGTCTCGGTGAAGTCTAGGCCAGGGATGGGTTCCAGCGCTTCTGCAACGGCGTTGGCATAGCTGATAGCTCTTAGCGCTTTCAGTGCATCCAGGTAGTAGATCAAAGTAGGCAGTGAATTGGGACGGGCCACGCTCAGAAAGGACGTAAATCGAAGCAGTGACGCAGTGTCGGCAAAGATGGCCTGCAGATGTTCCCTTGAGAAGAGTTGCTCAGATCTGGTTTCGAGCGAGTATTGGGATCTCGCGTTCTCGACGGGTGCGCTGACAAGGTCAAATGAATGAGGGTCGTCTTCCAGTAATGGCGAAAGTCGATCGCCGTCATCTATCATTCCACCTTTCTGCTGCAACGGCGCAAGTTGTTGAGTTGTAATGGATGGTGTAGCAGACTCGTATGATATCACAGAGTCTGCCGAACTTCGTATCATTGTTGGTTCATTAGTAGTAATTCGTGATGACTGCACGTTTTGCGGCACTGCACTAGATGTGCGTGACATGCTTCGAGCACGAGACTGTTGCATGTCTGGTGTCGGTGTCGAACGTCCGTTGTTAGGAGATGATGGCTCAGCGCTCAGTCGTCTTTGCAACGATATACGCTTTTGGGTGGCCCGAGGAGTGACGGAACTGTTGGAGAATGAGCAATGAAAACCAATTGTCTGGAGGGTGGTTGAAGTAGTACCTGGTCCGGAAAGGGATATGGATATCCTTTCTTGTAAAGTCTATCTGGGGTGCAGGAGCAGAAGTATCGTCATCCGAAAGCCAACTTTCATGTCGCTCGGGATCAACCGGTCTAGTGACGGGTGAAAGAGGGGCACTCCTTGTAATCGAATTAGACGCATCTTGCATGGTCGCGAAGTCGAGGACCAGCGGTTCATTAAACGCACCGCCACTGCCGTTGACATTGGGGTTGGCATCCGTATCGGGAGCCATGACGCTATCGACATACGCTGGGGCCAACTCGGTTGAGCTCCCCATTTTGGCTGAATTGATAGTGATGTTTGATTTCCTAGCAGCGTCAGAAGACTTTTTGGAAGAGAACACCCCGTGTGCTGATCGCATCTTGTTCTTAAACATGGCCATTAGAATCGTGGACGGCTACAACGCCGCACAACGTCAAAAACAAAAGGGACAAGTGCGGAAGTTTGATAAATGGGGTGCGGCAAGGACAGCGTATTGGGGAAGAAGACGCAGATCGATGACGGAGAGAAAGTATCTGGAAGGTAAACATACCGGAGAACCCAGTAAAACCTGACACGTTCAATAGGTCCCTTGTCTCCGAGTAGTTTGGTACTAGTCGGTCGCCTGGCTGCTGCTGCTAAGACGTCGACTCGCTGGCGTCTGCTTTGGGCACCAGAAAGATCGATTTAGTCTGGTAGGCTAATGTTCCGGCAGCAAGGATGCCGATTGCGCCGATAGTATGGGCTAATGCAGGCACGCTTGAGATGTCGGCGATCGTGAAATATGCCTTCCGCTGCGAAGAATCGAAGATTGAGGCTTGAAGTCCTCAAATAGGGTCGCGTATTAAGACAGGGGTACGAGATGATATCGATGTTTTATACGCTAACAACACTGCAAGCTGAGATCTACGATGGATCTGTGAGTATCGTCGAAGAGTCGAAGACGTCGATGTTGTCGCGGTCGTCGCAGTTGGAACAAAGTTAGGAGGTTGGTCGCGCATAACCAACCCCCGCATCCGCCGCAAGTATACTTTGTTTTGTGCACCTCGCGGCATACTTTACAACAACCGGTGATCCCTGCGCAAATCTTCAGACCGCCATGGCTAGAAAGACTCCCGCGGTCTGCATCGTGATGTGTTCCGTGGGTCGGTATTCTTATCCGACTTTTGTAACTGTCATGATCCTGGACACCTTTGCTGAAGGAACACCGGGTTTTCGGTCTAACCAGGTGCAGTCGTGATCTGTGCATCCAAAGGTTTCCTGCTGCCCGTGCTTCATATACGACGACGACTACGATAATCTCGGGGTGCCATTCCAGCCTGATGGAGGTTCTTCCGACAGTCTCTTTTCAGCTGTCAGTTGTCAACTTGTCGTGCCTCCCGTAACTTTTGCGCTAGGGGAACGGGTTCATTCTCCAGGTTTGCGGCTCGATATTAGACAATATATCACTCTTTCTGCTCATGGCCGACTGGCACCGATTGCATCTTCACACCACGCTATCGCTTTCGGATTGTAAAGTCGCTCGGATTCGACATTTGCAGATTACAATCTGACTCGACGATGCCTAAAGTGGTATGCAGGGCATTACTCGCAAGCTTGCGTCAGCGCAGATCTTCTTTTGCGGAAGTCCCTTGCATGAAATGGTTTTCTAGGGACATGGATATGTAACCCCACTCCAGACGAAGGGTGCTCTGGTGTTGAGCTTTACGGCGTCTCAGCGGCGAATTAACTTTGTCTGTTATTCCGCTACTGCAACCGAGCCGACAACGTTACAGCATGACGTGTAATGATCTGTTACGAGCTGTGGACCCACGGTAGCTGTTGCTGGCCTCGACGTGTCGATGCAGGGCGTGTTAATGTCCGGAATCTTCGGTTGGGTCACTTTTGTGCTATTGTCCGAGGGGCCATCGTTCCTTTTTGCGGGTGGTGGAGAACGAGCTTCGATGTCAGCGCGGCACGTGTCGTGTGTGGGTCGGCACTGGCTCGTGCAATGTGGGCTGAAGTTGCGCACACAGCGTCGCGTGGCAGCGTCATGCCCTCTTCGTTGACAGTGTCGACTAACCTCCACTAGATGCATAACGAAACTTGGAAGCCTAATGTTTCATTGCCACACTGTGCAGCCAACTGCGCACTCAATATGCGCCAAACCAAAAGGCTCACTCCGCCCACTCGCAGCCAACGAAAAGATGCGCCTAGATCCGGAATCTAGATGCCTTCATTCTTAGCTTCGAGGCAAAGGAAATCGATGGAATCCCCTGAATCTAGGAAACTTTCGCAGCTCGGCTACACAATTCCCTGGGTTCGCTCTCCTAGTTAACTTTCACATTCACGTCAATTTAGTACTGATCTCAGATACGCGTCGGTAGCAGCCGATAAAGTCCAAATCAAACCTTCGACAGCGCCAAGCCCTGGACGGTCACGTGCAGCACATCACAATATCACTCCGATACTCTTCAATGTCACTCCGATACTCCTGCCAATTAGATTAGTTTTCTCTTATAATGTCAGTCGGAGCGAATACTGGACACATGTAGTAATATCAGACGACAAGAAGAGCGTACTGTCGCTTACCCAGACATATCACCTTTCCGTCCGAACGATGTTCATGCGTCTCCAGTCCTATCTGTAGGCACGCCGGAGGCTGTTCAAAATCATGGGCGAACAGTTTAGAAAATCACAAGAGAGTTCAATACAGGGTTGTACTCAAGGGTCCGACTTCTTGGATACTTGGGTAGTTCGAGTGGTAGCATCATTTAACCAGCAATGCCCACCATGAATGTCCTTTTCCTAGAAAGAAGACCTCATTACGAGAATAGAGGCCTAACAGCCGTTTGGTGTGTCCCACAGCCGATCAAGTCCTTAATTTCAAGCGATGTTTGTGTTGTCTTATCGGCCTGCACAAGAAAGTCAATCATGTGAATGCGCTACAAGGCTTTAGCTCAGGTAAAGCCACTTGGTAACGATGAGAAAAGAACTGCGGGAGCACAACAAACTAGCGTTTCCTGGCGGACGAGACAATTGGTGGAAGCAGCAGAGCATGTGTTCGGTGGTTATGCGGAGGACCGCGGCGCAATGTGGCATTGCTCGACGGTACGGGACTACTTACCACGCTAAGTCCCTTCAAATGTTATCTTGTGTTCCTCCCTCGGCCACTTTCTGAACTTGATCGTACGATGACTTCAATTGTGCGATATTCTCGGTGGTACCCATCCAATCTAGAAAGAGTCCTGGCAACTCAAATATCCGAATATCAAGAAGTGGCTGCCTTGCGAGGCGCCTGAATCCCATCAATATGGCACCGTTCCAACAATGTTTACTAGGCAAATACTGCTGTTCAGAGCACTACAACAATGATATTGACTTGCGCACTGGGCCGACGGCGACGTGTGCGAGAAGAGAAGGAGCGATAATGTACCAGAGAAGGTAGAACGCATATTGAGTTTGTGAGATGCTGATAAGCAAGTTGGTGCTCTTATTTCCTGCGTCAGTTTCGGTGTCAAAGTCATGCGGCGCTTTCCGAGCAGAAAGGTAATGTATCGAAGCCGAACAGACTGCCGAGACTAGAGACATCAAGGAAAGCCCATCGTGTGTCATCACAAAACATTCATTAACATCCTCATACATGACATAATTCGCCACTTGCGCAACGATAGAGATCGAAAACTCATCCTTACTCTGCGTTCGAAGCCCACACAAGATGTAACGGGTAGACAAGGAAGCACGCTCGATCGTGTGATGAACGACTGAGGCAACTTGCAGTGATTGTGTCCAGGCGTAAGAGCATTACTACAGTCCAAACGCGGTAGCTCATCCGACCCCCAGGAACGATAAGGTTTACTTTTACAGTCAAACCAATCAGTGTTATGCTTTCAAGATTTCAAGGTACGTTTCGCATCTGGACGATGTCAGGAAGGTTTCCGGTTGTGCTTTTGTTTACGAAGGCGGCTACCCGTCCAACTTTCAGACCACATCTACGACATGGGATGGTGCATAAGCTACGCTAGCGAGTTGAGTTATCGAGGAACTAAACAGAGTGTGGGGGTGTGACTTCCGTTGGCAAGCAAACGGTGGAGAATAGAAGGCATGATGTAATCTACCATCTGAGCACCACCAACCGATGCAAACAGATCTCAGGAGCCGGCCGCACAAGAACCTGGGTTGCGACTGTGTGCATATCCGTCTAGCCTGGAATAGTGCATACTGAGACTAAGTAGACATACCACAGATAGAACTGGCACCGTTGTTACTAAGCTGCACTTTCCGAGCCAGATCATCGTGGTTGCAATATTTAACATGGTCTTAATAGGTCAGAGTCGAGCATGCCCAAGCGTAGGCTAACACAGCTAGTACTAACCGCGGGTGTTCTGGTAATAGGAAGACACCATGACACCGTAGAGGCGAGCATTCCAACGTCTGCTGTCAATTCATGCCTTGATTCCCATTGAACTCGCGTTATTTCGTTGATTCTAGTCAGCACCAAATTGTACCCTAGAGATGTCTGCTACACTCTATTACGTGCCCAAGGCAAAGCAGGGTAGAACCAAGTGAGTAACTTCGCGGTACATTATGTGAGAGTACACTGCCTATTGTCAACCTTATAAGCCCTGCGATCCAGAAGGAAATGTATGAACTGCTTATGCAGAGAGCTGAAAACTACGAAGCAAACAAGAACAGACCTGCATGTAGTGGCACATGTACAGGACGACAGAGTGAATAGGCAGTGAAAAGCCATGGATATTATGTCAGAGTGCGGAATGTGGTGGAAAGCGTTCATTTGTCGTAGGCGGTCATAACAGCAATGGCTAACACTACAGACGAGCAAGACACTGCATTGACTGGGATTGGAAGATGATGTTTATTGGCGTGAGGGGTCACTCAAAGCCATGTTGGCACACCACTATATCTGCACCATGGTATCGCCGCTTTCCATGCGTAAGAAAGTGCAGAAAGAGAGAATAATCGAGAAGTCCGAGAAACCACGCCGTTGACCATCCGTATCCCATTTTGCCAGCCAATACACCCGAGCCAACTGTCCACGTCTAAATGTAGGTCTCGTAAGGGATGGGTGTGATGTTCTCCGGCTTTTGCTCCTTGAGGCTGACAATGTGCTCGGTGCGGGGCTGGGCGGGCTGGCGCTTCATCTGCTGGGGCTCGCCAGTCTCCTTGGCCTTTTGTTGCTTGGCGAAGTTGAGCTTGACGCGCTTGAGGAAGTCCTCTCGTGAGCGGGAGTGGCGGACGTGCTCGATGCGGACGTTGATGCGCTTCTCCATGTATCGGTTGCCGACCTGCTTCTGGAGGATGACACCGACAGCGGACTTGGTGACGTTGTAGACGATACCGGTCTTGCCGTGGTAGACCTTGTAGGGCATACCCTTCTGGACCGCACCTGTTTGCTCATGAGTCCTCCGCCTTGAATCGCTTTCGCTGGCTTTCTGGGGGTTTCGTACCGTTGGCTACGACATCGACGATATCACCGACCTTGTACTGCTTGAGGTAGGTCGAGAGAGGGATCATACCCTTCTTCTTGAAGTCTCTCGAGAAACTGTCGCAGCGTCAGCAATCGTCGCATGGGCGTCGCAATTATTCTCAACGTACGCATAGCGCGTACCCGCGCGGAGACCGGCTGCGTGACCCATTGTGTGTGAGTGTGGGCTGGAGTGTTCGTAGGGCGGAAATCTGAAGTTGATGTTCGAACAATGTCTATTTCGACTCCAGAGTGCCTTCCTCGCTTAGTCGTTAGTGTTTTAGTGGTCCGTGCGTCCGCACCTTCCGCCCGAAATTCAAGCACTCACTTCTCACATTCGCAACTTCGACTCTTCCACCTCGACAACCACAATGGCGCCCCGTTCCTACTCCAAGACGTACAGCGTCCCACGTCGTCCTTTCGAGTCCGCTCGTCTGTATGTGATACTCCATGGCCACTGAGCGAGAGCGTGCTCCGCTTATGTCTGGGACACAAGTTAATGTTGGATTAGGGATACTGAGCTGAAGCTCGTCGGCGAGTATGGTCTCCGCAACAAGCGTGAGGTCTGGCGCGTCCAGTTGACCCTGTCCAAGATCCGTCGTGCCGCTCGGTAAGTTCTCATTGCAACTGCCTGCGCGCAATTGAATTGATGCGCAGTGTGCGAGATATGAATTCGCTAACAGTTTGCCAGTTCGCTTCTTACTCTCGACGAGAAGGACCCCAAGCGCCTCTTCGAGGGTAACGCTCTCATTCGCCGTCTCGTACGTGTCGGTGTCCTTGACGAGTCCCGCATGAAGCTCGATTACGTCTTGGCCCTCAAGATTGAGGACTTCTTGGAGCGCCGTCTCCAGACCTGTGTCTACAAGCTCGGTCTTGCCAAGTCTATCCACCACGCTCGTGTCCTGATCCGCCAGCGCCACATCCGGTATGCATCTGCCCTCAATTGATCAAAAACCGTGCGACTAACAACATCACAGCGTCGGCAAGCAGATCGTCAACGTTCCCTCCTTCATGGTCCGCCTCGACTCCCAGAAGCACATCGACTTCGCTCTGACCTCGCCATTCGGTGGCGGCCGCCCTGGCCGTGTCAGGAGGAAGAAGGCCAAGGCCGCCGAGAAGGGTGGTGACGAGGATGCTGGCGAGGAGGACGAGGAGTAGATTACACGTCAAAAGGAATGATTCACGGATGATCGGCGTTCGGCATGACGGGATGAATCTCTTCGACAGTTATCCTGTCCTTGAAAGCACTATATCCCTTGTGGGTCTGGGCTGGTGGATGATCTACATATACATCATGTAGACACTACCCAAAATTTTCAACTGCCATCGTCTGTCTCTATCTGCTCATAATGTCCGTGATGTTGTGCAGACCTCCGTATCATGATTGGCAATCCGACCAAGAGTCTGTACGAATGTACCCAGGTCAGACAGTGCAAGAGGGTATCCGCTTTATGCTTCACTTGTGCCCAGTATTGCACCGCATACAAGAGGAAACTGAAACAAGTACAGAGACAATATGCCTTGCCTTGCAGCCTACGTTAGCTTTAAACTAGAAAATTTATAAAGACTGATAGCATTGTAGGATTCTTGATCCTTTACATCTGTACTATATCGCTCAACATACATTGTTGTAGTGGGGCGAGGCAGGGTGTTCTCTAAGATCTATCTAGTTTCTCCTCCTAATAAAGTAATTGCACCTTTAGAGTATTTGCTGCCTCTGACTTACAAGACGTAGCGAACATCTTCAGCCTACCACATACTCATGTCGCAGCTCAAGTAGTACAACAATGACCGAATGTACCCCCGCTGTGCAAGCTGTTGATCAAGTGTCTGAATTTTCTCTTTACTACTTGATATCTCTAGTACTCAGATTCATCGGTGTATAACCGCGTGACCGGGCTAGGTCTCCTGCCCTCAGAATTCAACCCAGCCGCAACCCTCTCCTCGCCTACCTTGGCTCTCGCCTCCTGCATGATCCACAGGCCTGAACTAGTTCCCAGCCTCGTTGCGCCAGCCTCTAGCATTTTCACCGCAGTGTCCAAGTCCCTGACTCCACCACTGGCCTTGACTTCCATCTTCTTCTTGCCTATTTTACGCGATGCAAGGTACTCTGCCGCAGCTACCATGAGCTTCACATTGGGAAGATTAGCGCCCGGACCATTGAAGCCTGTAGATGTCTTGATAAAGTCGAAGCTAGCGGCAGCGGCAAGATGAGACGCCGCAAGAATCTGGGCAGAATTCAATTGCGAAGTTTCGAGGATGAGTTTGAGTGTTGTAGGGGCAGGGCAGAGACTTCTTATGCTAGCCAATTCCCTGTATATGGCGCTGTAGTCTGGGATTTCTCCTGTTTCTTCTTCTTCAATGTCGCTGCTTCCGGCGTTGATGGCTGTGTTGGCAGCGGTGATGCTGTCAATTGCTGAGTCACGGGCGGTGAGCATGTGGTCTGCTGGTGGGGAAGCAGGTCGGTTGTGCTTGGTGAGTAAGGAATAGTTGAGGACGACATCGAGTTCTGCGGCACCCGCTGCTACGGCGGCACGTGCTTCTTGCAGCTTGTAGTATGTGTCTTGGGTTCCTTCATGGAAACCGACGACGCAGGCGACGAGGACGTCAGTGCCCTTGAGGTTGGAAACGCAGCGTTGGACGTAGTTGAGGCGGACGCAGACTGACTGTAAAGCTTGTCAGTCGGAGGCTTCTGAATACCGTGGCGCATAGCGCGTGTCTTGCAACCTCATAGCCTAACAATATAACTCTTCCTTATCTCGAACGACCAGCCTCAATTCTCTGGGAATGGACACACCTTGAAGTTTTCCGTCCTTGCCTCACTACACAGCCCATCGATAGCGGTTGTCGTCGCATCCAACTTGAGCACGGTATGATCCACCGTCTTAGCCAACTCTTTCAGCGCTTCTTCTCCATTCCTCATCCTTGGGCCTTCGTAAACCTTCTTCGCCCTTTCTCCACTGTCCACCTCTTTCATAACATTCTTGATGGTCTCATCGATTTGCGCCTTCCACTCCTCGTTAGTATACCGATCGGTCATCATCTCGATAGGATTCGATTTATCGTCGCCGAGCTCCGGGTTAGCAGCGAGGAATCCGCGGATCAGAACTTCAGATTCCGTCAAGGGGATGGGGTGGGGGTTTGACGGAACTGGTCCTCCCGCGCCTGCTGATGATGAGGTAGACATTTTTTCACGACGCGCTGGCGCGTGTTTGTTGATATTGATCTTGATTATTGACGGATCTATTTTAGTGCCACTCGGAATGGAAGCCGCGGGGACGCGCGAGCGAACGAACGTGCGAATGGCTGTATTGACGATGACGTGAGGTGGCTTGTACTCGACTCGTGTCCAACCATTAATTGGAATAAGGAAATTAGACGAACAGTTATGCAGCGGCGTTGCCTCCTGTCTTTAAAAGTGACGGCCGTATCGACTACTATCAATGAGAATTGGTGTTTTGGCGGAGGTCGGCGTTTTGCCAGTCATGTGGGCAGGCGTAGGGAAGGTGCCATGAACTGGCCAGGGGGTCTCGGCCACGCTTCCCCACTTTGACAGCAGAAAATCTAGCCAAGAATGATGTCCTTCTATTCTAGGCAAAGAGCAAGGCTTTTTGCGATACTAGTAAGTCACGGAGGTATCAAATCTGTAAGGCTTGGTATGGGGTCTACAAAGGATCCGGAGTGAAGCGTTGAGCACATCAAACAAGTTAGAGTATTGCAAAACGACGTGGTACGCACGTGTACATGGCATCCAACAGAGAGGCCAAGATTCACCTTAGTTGTGTGTGAAATGAATGTGAGGATTTGACGCTTTGATTTACAAAGGACCGCTAGCATGCGTAGGTATCCTCGATTGCAAGCCGGTCCTCACCTCGGACGACTGATCCAAAGGCTCTGAAATGCTATCTCTCCTCCCACATGCATGTACATGAAAGCCGAAAGACCATGCCGAACAAAAGGAAATAGATTCGAGGAAAAAGGGTTGTCCATCAGCGCTGAGATATCCGGAACTCCCGTTTTTGTGACTTTTGCATTGACTCGGGTCGAAAGATCCCTCTTCTATCCTGCGGTCGAGTCGATCGGCGCCAATGAGATCTACACCCCTAAGCCATGATAGTCGTCATCGTAACCCATCAATCCCAGCTGTCATCACTCCGACGAAACGTTTACTTCCTTCGGAAAGAGCAGCCCTCGGTCAATCGCGCCTTGCCACCAGTGGGCTGGCACCTGTGAATGCGTTAGCCCATGCCCTGATTCCATGTCCGATTGTCCTAGACTTACAGGACCTGCGAGCAGCCCTGGCAGACGACGACTGTGTTGGCGTGCGAGAAGACGGTGGTGATGGTGAAGCATCCGGGGCACTTGACGTCCATGAAGAAGGAGCGGGGAGCGGGCACGAGGGTCTTGAGCTTGTGCTTGCGGGCCTCACTAGACACTTGTTAGTCGCAGGTCGAGGGCGAAGAGGCGGGAATATGTGCGTACGCGGCCGGGGAAGGGTTGAGAAGGTCAACTGCGAGAACCTGGAGCCCGGTTAGTTCAAAATCTTCATAGAGACATCTGGGGCGCAAGGCACGGCGACGAGAGGTTGCAAATTCGAGATGCAGTGGCGAACTCCGAGAGTCTCGTGTGCCCGCTCACAGACCCCTCTCGCGCGCTCCTAAATGCCCTCGGTGGCTCAAACTCACCATTTTGACGGTTTATGAAGAGTCTCTTGGTTTGGTTGATTGTCGTTGATGGCTTGAAGTCGATTGAATCGGGCGCGAGAGTCGAGACGGCTGGAGAGGGGAATCAATTTCGACATCCAGCGGCCACACATTCATTAGCGAGGGCGCTAGGATTCTTGGCGGTCCGTGCACATCGGTTTGCATTCACTGTTCTCGAAACTGCAAGACCTTTCTAAATGCTTTGTTAAGCCTGATCATGTTCTGGCATTCACTCATGTCTGCATTGATCGCTGCAGGTGTCGTTGTGACTGCGTGCTGTTGATCGATGACGGAGTTCCTTCTAGGGCGGCAAAATGCCCACGTGATTCGAACATGAAAAGATCGCTCGCATTCAAGCATACATCTACAAAGACTCATAAAGCTCTTGGGAGAAGCACATATCGAGAAAGAGTGTCCGAAAACGAGTGAAGGGATGTAATTCCCCTGCATACAGCTACAGTAAGATCAGTGACTTGTCCTCGACTGTATAGCGAACTGCATCTCCAAAGCAAAGGCAAAAGACAGCGTCCAGATCGGGCCGAATAGGTAATATGATGTATCCAAGCACACGACACAGGAGATCTTCCCAGTTCGAGGATGCAAGTGAGCTCTCACTGGTCAGAAGTCGTGCCGCAAACTGTGGAACACTCGCTGCTGACCAGGAATGTGGAAACACAGACAGTACGTTTTCTGTGTGGCCCATCTGCTCCAGCTGAGTTATGGTCAGCGCTAAAGTGCGAGGTATTACCCCATTGCATCTGGGGCTGCTTCCTTACTTGTCCTTTTACCCCACTTAGCGTCAATTCCAAGGCTACCGTATACTCTGCTTCTGTTTATAAGGGTAAAGACCAGATGCAATGAAGACAAGAGAATAATACCATCACTCAAACTACGGCTGATTTATCGTTCGACATGGCATCAAAGGAGAAGAATACGCAAGAGATAGAGACGGCGAAGAAGCTGAATCATGTACCCTGGTGCGAGGAATACGAGAAGATGATCTCTGGGATGCTGTATGTAAAAAGCCTCTTATCCAATTCCCTAGCATTACTTCATTGGGCTATCCTGAAGTACACCTGGAAGATACTGTTGTTATCGGAAATAGCAGATACCCTCACAACGCAGTATAACTAGTGCTATGTGCAACTCATCCGACATTCGAAGCACATAATACAGGATTCATCTCCTCACTTTTCCACATAACTAACACAATTACAGCTACAATGCCTTCAGTCCCACCTTGAATGCCGCGCGCTTCAAAGCCAGAGCTTTTGCCAATAAATATAACACATGGTTCCCGGACCCCGAAACAACCGACTCGGAAAAAGGCTTCGACATCCTCGCCGCAGAACGTCTTCGAATGCTCAAAACGGTCATTGGCCATGTAGCCGACGACGACATCTTCATCGAACCGCCATTCAACATCGATTATGGCTGCAACATCTCCTTGGGCAAACGCTTTTACTCCAACTTCAATTTGACTATCCTAGACTGCTCGCTTGTAACGATAGGGGATCGGTGTATGTTTGGTCCTAATGTATCCATTTTCGCGGCTACACATGAGGCGGAAGTGCAATCGCGACGGGACAACATCGAATATGGAAAGCCTGTTGTGGTTGGTGATGACTGCTGGATTGGTGGAAACGTAGTCATCTTACCCGGAGTGACGATAGGGAGAGGAGTTACGGTGGGAGCGATGAGTGTTGTGACAAAGGATGTGCCAGACTTCTGTGTTGTCATGGGACAACCAGCTAGGGTAGTTAAGAAGGTCGCAGAGGTTCCGGTAGAGGAGAGTGCATCGTGAAAGCCTCGAGCTTCTTCACAACCGGTATTTAGAAATCCACTCAAAGTATTGGACTTGTGTGTTTGAAGAGCGTAAGCTGTCTGGCAGTTTTCTAAACAATATGACATCGATCCTGAAAGCCCTTCGAACTCAGCTCATCTATCCAAAACGCTCTCACCGCCGAGAGCGTGAACGCATATAGACCTCGCCAAACCAAGGAAAGAAGTGAAGGGAGCCAGCGCCGAAGCTGTACTGGAGCAAACATGTACAATAAAAATATAAGAGCGTCGAAGCGGTATAAAGGGGTAAGGGGAAGGTCTATGCCGGGAGCACTACTAGCCAATCCGTGCTCCCATTCTGAGTATGCGTCTCATCCAGCTGGACTTGGACCGACATCAAACAGTTTGCCACCTTTTCCCAAGAAGCACAGAACTAGCGATAGGGTGAAAGTACGAAGAGGAAGTTGGGCGACGCGAATACAGTGAAAATGGTGTGATGACAGGAGCTGGGTGTCGTGTACTTCCGTCGAGGTGCTGATAGCGTGCGACCAGAGCCAGTACTTTGTAGTAGTAGGGTTGTGTTCAGGAAGGATAGCGAGAGGGTGTCATCGGCCTATAGGATGGTACAACCGCCGCTCTTGTCTTTGCTAGTCTTGACTTGCAGAGCCACACGGGCGGCTTCGGTAAAAGCCTCGTTGACACCTCGGTTCTTCATGGCAGAGCATTCTAGACATGTCAACTGGCTGTCGTTGATTTCAAAATTGACACAACTTACCCAAGTATCGCAGAGCCTTGATCTTCTCTGCTACGCGAAGACCCTCATTATAGTCGATACATGGCTTCTCGGGCTGTTGGTCATCCGCGTCGTCATCTTCTTTTTTCCGCAGGTCACACTTGAGTGCAACCAGAACGAGCTTAACACCAGGGCAGTTCTCTGCTATCTCGCCGACCCATTTCGTTTCTACGTTCTCGAGCGAGTCTGGTGAATCGACCTGTGCCCTGTAAGTTAGTGTTTCGGCACAAAGGCGGCGAATAATCGTACCGAAAAGCAAAGCATGATCGCGTGGGTGTCATCGTAGCTCAGCGATCGTAGCCTGTCGAATTCTTCCTGTCCAGCGGTGTCCCATAAACTAAGCTCGACGTGTGTGTTGTCGATGTAGATATCTGTAGCGCCACGTCAATTGTGTAAATAGGGATTTGTGAATAGGCGCACAAACCGTGTACGTAGTTCTCTGTAAGATTTGTTAGCGGTATAAAGCTAGAGTGCGAGGAGAGTCCTCACCAAATACTGTAGGCTCGCTGAAAGGGCTTTGTTAGCCTCGGGCGCGCGTTTATTTTATGCAGATTACTCACTATACTGTTGGAAAGTAACTATTAATAAGTCAGTAAGCTCCAGATATCGCACAAAAACGTTGGTACCTACCCTCTTGTGAATACATTAAGTAATGAGGTCTTGCCGCATGCACCGTCACCGCTGTCGGAGGTACGTTAGCCTTGTTCTGTCGCATCATGCGTCGATTACCCGAACAAAGAGAGCCGGCGCATATGAGAGACGTACAGCAGCACCAGCTTGCGCTGCACAGACTTTGTTCCACCGCACATGGGCATCGTGAAGGTCGCGTAGGGAGACTCGGCGATGGATTCGTTCCGTCGGCTCAGGGACGAGAGAGCGCGCGCGCGTTGGTGCAACAAAGGACGACGGTCGCGATCGTGGCAGCGGACGCGGACGCGGCGAGGACGAGAGCGAGAGTGAGAGTTGCACCGGGGACTCTTAGCGGACGGAGGATGATAAGGATGTGGGAGTTAAGAGTTAAGCCGGGAGGGTTCCAGAAGCTGGGCTGGAGATGCAAGCGATGGATGGATGGAGTTGAAGATCCACCCACGTCGCTAAAGCTAGGCCTAAAAGGACGGCTAGTACTGCTCACTTCCGCAACCCTTCCACGGCTTCGACACTACGCATTTGGGCATCGACACGGACGTAGCACTATGCAATTGTCGGCTGAGGCGCAGTACACTGCACCCGAGATACTCAACAAGCCTGCCAAAGTCGCTGGTGTGCGTGGGGAAAGGCCAAGAGCAAGTGCCACGGACAAGACCTTAGAATCTTGAAGAATTCATAGTTAGGGCTAACATGACGGCCTGTGACCGTGAACCGAGTTAAGGGATCTGCTAGTGACGGCGAGTGGTTGAGGATGGATCTGGGATGAGAGTTCCCGGGGTCTGAGCCTTCTCCACATGCTGGAAGCCGGACCGAAAAAAGAAGGTCGCGAGCTTAGTATGTGCTATCTAATGCCATCGTTCGCCGTCTGCTGCACGCTATATTATACTCGAGTTATTATGCTTGCACAGCCCTGTGAACGCCTGACACAGACTCTGAGACTTTGCGAATGTTCAAAATCACCGATTCACTCCACTCCGAACTGATTCAAAATCAATAATGCGTCAATGCGACCGGGAGATGAAGCGGAGATTGCTGTCGGGCACAGAGTGTGCACAAGTCGATATGAAGATAGAACCATTGCTCCAGCTCCATAAGCACAAGTTTAGCCACGCCTCAAGAGTACTTTGCAGCAGTCTTCGAGTGGATGCAGAAGGAAGGTTTCGATGCTCTTCATGGGTGCTGCGTCTGGGGAGCTTAGCCCCGCGAAAGTGGGGCTCTTCCGCAGGCACCTACCGCCGCCTCACGTAGGCAAACAGTCGCGAGAGCTCTAAACAAGACACTCGACGCACACTTCTATCAACCGACTTGATATCACTGCGCTGCCTCCTCGATAGAGCTTGAAGAACACGACCCGAACCTCACTCTTCACTTCACCACCAACGGCACAGCAATGTCCGACGACGATGATTTCATGCAAGACTCCGGCGAGGAGGAGTAAGTAGCAACCGCCAACTCTGACGCGACATGCCCTCTGACATATTACAGGTACGACTTCGAATACGAGGACGATGATGACGAGCAGAGTGGCGATGTCGACATCGAGAACAAGTACTACAATGCGAAGCAGCTCAAGGCCGACGATCCCGAGGCGGCCATAGATGAATTCTTGGGAATGCCTGCTCTAGAAGAAGAGAAGTCGGACTGGTAGGAAACATGGAAATCTGGGGGAACGGATATACGCTGACGAATCCATAGGGGCTTCAAGGGACTGAAGCAGGCAATCAAGCTGGAGTTTAAGCTGGCCCGCTACGACCAGGTAAACACGGCAACGGCTAAGAATGAACCCTAGCTAATGCTCGTAGGCTGTTGAGCACTACAAAGAGCTGCTGACCTACGTCAAGTCGGCCGTCACGCGCAACTACTCCGAAAAGTCCATCAACAACATGCTCGATTTTATAGAAAAGGCCGCAGAGGACGCCGATGCATATCGCTGCATGGAGAACTTCTACGCCCTGACCCTCGATATCTTCCAGAGCACCAACAACGAGCGGCTTTGGCTAAAGACCAACATCAAGCTCGCGAGGCTGTGGTTGGACAGGAAGGACTACCGTCAGCTTACGGAGAAGCTCCGCGAGCTACACAAAGCCTGTCAGAAGGAGGATGGAACAGACGACCCGAGCAAAGGCACATACTCACTGGAAGTCTACTCGCTAGAGATTCTGATGTACGCCGAGACCAGGAATAACAAGCGGTTAAAGGTACGGCTCGTCTCCATTCAACCTTACCTGCATTATCTTTAACATCATGACAGGCACTCTACCAACGAGCGCTCAAGGTCAAATCCGCGGTTCCACACCCCAAGATTATGGGTATTATCCGAGAATGTGGTGGCAAAATGCACATGAGCGAAGAGAACTGGAAGGGCGCGCAGAGTGACTTCTTTGAGAGCTTCAAAAACTACGATGAGGCTGGATCACTCCAACGAATCCAGGTTCTGAAGTATTTGGTCCTAGCGACCATGCTGTCGGGTTCCGATATCAATCCGTTTGACTCGCAGGAAACCAAGCCCTACCAGAACGACCCGCGCATCTCTACAATGACTGACCTGGTCAACGCCTATCAGCTTGAAGACATTCACGGTTACGAGAAGATCCTGCAGAACAATCAGGATCTGCTCCAAGATCCTTTCATTGCCGAGAACATTGACGAAGTTACGCGCAACGTGCGAACCAAGGCTGTGGTCAAGCTCGTCGCACCCTACACTCGCTTCACGTTAGCGTTTATTTCCAAACAGCTGAAGATATCTCTTTCCGAGGTGCAGGAAATTGTAGGGTTCCTAATAGTTGACAAGCGGTTGCGCGGCAAGATCAACCAGCAGAACGGAACGGTAGAGATTGAGAGTAGCACAGACATGGATCGGGTGCAGGCGATGAAGGAATGGAGTAGTGCCATTGGAGCGTTGTGGCAGACAGTGCTAAACGAAGGCGACGGCTTCAAGTCAGACGAGAGCGGTTCTCAATTCACGCCTGGTGGTGGCGGGCCCCAAAGCATGAGCTGGAATCAAGGTTCGATGGGTGGCAAGTCCGGTCGAGGTAAAGGCAAGGGTGTGGGGAGGCTTCCGGGAGTAATGGGCAAAGGATGACTTGCAGCATCGGTCGCGCGCGGTTCACAAGGCGACCTGTAACTGGGTTTCCGGGCAGGCCACGGAGTAAAGATAGTTGCACAGTACCGTCACCCGGGCGTTTCTCACCTGAAGTAATTGAGACATGCGGTCAAGTTGCTCAAGGCAAGAGATGGGGTTGGGCAATCGGGTAGCACCGGGCAAGAATTTGCGTGCACATGAGCGGCAGGCGTCTCAACATAGCATGTGGGCAGCGGACATGTTCGGTCACGCAATGAAGTGCAATTACCCACAGGTCAGCAGCGGTTCACTTTTGTCTGTATGTAACATGGCCTCCTTTTCTGGTAACAAAAGCCAAGGTCCCGACTGCGCGGTCATCGCGGTAGCCTGCTGCCACCAAGCGCCCCCGTATCTCGATGCCAGTAAGCCGTGAATCGAATCTCAACGTGATGCATGGTGATCTCAAGCTTCACTCGGTTGCTCTCGTACGAATCACAGTGGGTTTCCCGACGATTGCACTGCGCGCCGGGGAAGCGGGCACAGACGAGGGTAGTGTTCCAAGCGAACCTCTCAGCTAATAGCAATGCTCCCACGCCGTGCCCGCCCTGACTCGCATGCAGCGTGGGATCGGTAACTCGACTAGAGTTTATCTCGGGTGCGCGGGCACTTGTTTTTTCTGTCGCAGAAGCGCCACGGAGCGGCAGAGCGAATCATGCAATACAGGCGGCCACTGCAACGTGAGGGCTCAGGCGCCAGAGTGCGGTCTTGGCATGTTCCTCTACGCCATGGGTGTCTCGATGATGCTGTGTTGAGCGCAATCCACGACGTGACACAGCGTTCTCTCGTCGCATGCATGCACCACCAGCCTCGGATTCTGCAATTGTTCCGGTTGGCGGGCCTGCTCGAATGCTTGCTACACCTGACAAGAGCGCAAGAGGCTTCTTCATGCCGTCATACTAGCCGTCTCGTGACTCTGATTCTTCCGCGGCTCTTTGCTCGGCGATTCAATGTTTGATGTGATGGAGCAAAGAGTGCACTTCAATCTCCAGATGCTAACCCATGAAGACTAGTGGGAACGTAAATCGATATCACACCCTGGGCTGGTGGGCAACCGTAGCCGGGTGGTCTTGGAAGATGTGGCATAGAGCATCTCATAGTACTTTCTTTTGCTCGATGCCTCCCTGGCGCTGGCTGTGCGGAGTGGCCTCCCTCTTGTACACCGTCGCGCCCTGCCCTCTCTGCCCAGCAGATATCCGGTGCGACTGAAATTGGCCGTTTCAAAGCGGCTGAGCCATAGTGTTGCAGACTGTTCTGGTGCCTGGCAGATTGAATTCCACTCGCACGCCGCGAAGATCCCCTCCTGTCTCTCCCATATATTGGCGTGTGCCCCTGGACGCCCGTGAGTATCACAGCGACGACACAACTTCCAGCCTACTGCCGCCGGCCTCTGCACCTACTAAAGACGCTGCTGCCCTCCCCAGCAGCTCGTCGACGAACTGTTGCTGAGATTGCTTGCGCGTTGCCGAATCTGTCGTGGAATCATTCCGTCCAATTGCTAGCCACTGAGGCCAGTCACGCCCACGGCCCCCCAAGGAGCCATCTGAGCACACACGGCGGGGAACTAAAGGCAAAGCAACCACACACCCACACATACACGGACACACACACACGCTCATAACTCCAAGACGAGATGAGCAGACAGTCGGTGTTGACGGGCTATCACCCTCATGGCCAGCATCATCCACATGCACACCTACACCAGGGCCACTATGGAGTTCCGGCTCAGAACCACTACCAAGGCGGATTAGCGTTTGCTATCCGCGCGCCGGTCCTTGCTCCCGGGAGCTATAATCACCACACTGGCCATCACCCAGGCCACCAGCATCGCAACCCCCACCTCAACATGGCCGCGTATCCCTCAGACGACGAGTATGCCCATCTGCAGAAGCTGTCGAGCGAATACGAGCCCGAGGCTACTGTGAGTTTGCTTGCGACAATATTCGCGGAAGCGCGCTGACCGCCCAAGGGCCCACTCGTTGGAGAACGCCAAAGCAGCGCTGCCATCACGACTGAGTATGCCGCCGCAGATCCCGTCTTCCAAGTCAAGACGGCTGCGCTGCCAGCCAAATATGCCTACTTTCGCACCTGTCGTGGCGATGGCCACTGTGGATGGCGGGGTGAGTGATCATCATCTTCTCTTGGTGCTATTTGCCGGTGCTAATAGGAACAGCAATCGCCTTCACTTATTTTGAAGCCTTGCTACGTGCGGGCAACGTGAACAAGTTGGATCATGAAAAAGGCCGCCTCGATTCGCTGGGCAACATGCTCGCGAACATCGGTTATTCGCGCGACATCTGGATTGACTTTGCCGAAGAGGCATTCGAGCTTCTTGACAAGCTTGCCAACTCGCTGCGCAACATGGACGGCCAGGCCGAAACCATTCTACTCCGTACTTTTAACGACATGAACGAATCCATGGCAATCATCACCTACGTCAAGGTAAGCATCCTGCATCTTTAGCCATTCCTGACGCTAACCCCTTAGCAGCTCCTAGCCAGTGCCTGGGTGCAGACGCACGCAGAAGATTTCATGCATTTTGTGGACAACGGCGACGTCAAAGCATACTGCTCCAACTACATTGAACCCACTCAATGTGAAGCCGACAACGTTGGCATTGCTGCCCTTGCTGAAGCGCTAATCAAGCCTGCTGGACTCGGTCTTGAAGTATGGTACTTGGACCGCTCACCAGGCGAAGAGATCAACCGTAGCTTCTATGCAGAGCCAACAGACGCGCACCATCGTCCTATCGCTGGTGCCCCTATGCTGAGGCTGCTTTACAGGCCGTAAGTCTGCCTTGCACAAGCCACTTCTTCCGCGTACTAATCCTTCTCAGTGGCCACTACGACATCCTGTACAAGGCTGGAGACGTACCCCAGATCCAGCATCAGCCCGTTCCCCAACAGCAACCACTCCATGTTGCCCTAGCCAACTACACTGACGAATTCATACCGACTGCGACAAATGTTGGTGACGTCATGAACATGATTCCGGGAATGTACCCCTCTGGTGTTGGTCTAGGCCAGCGGTGGCCTTCGCTTCCGTACGACTTCAGCCCCAGTCCTGCCTCTCATCCCCAAGTTACGCCTGTTCAACCATATGCTCCGACGCCAACGCCTGTGACACCGGTTACCACTTCCCACTTGGACTTTGTTACACCAATCCATTCTAGCAACCCAAGCCAGTACAACCCGCCGAACCATCACAACATACACCTCGACCAACCTCCTGTGACACTACCAATACATCCTCCACCGCCACCCGTGAGCATCGAACGTGCGGCTCCTATGGGTATTGAGAGGGGCGGTCTCTTTCGACCTTCAATGTACGAGCTGGAACCGGGCTACGGCTCCTCATTGCAAGTGCAGCCGTTCCAGACGTCCATCTTCCGCAAGTAGGTATCGGCCCGATAATATGTTTGACGTACACTAACTTGCTCAAGTTCACACTTCAATACCGCGCACTTCATGAACCCTGACTTTGAACCCGAGCAGTGGTGTCCGGACGGCGAATACTCCGTGGGCAATAAAGGTCGGCACAAGTCTCACTCATCCTGAACATCTTTCTTTTTGCTTGAATCCGACACATGCGCTCTCCTGGTGGCCTTTTCCCGATATCTTAGCGACTACTAGCGTGGCGTTCATCGAGCTTGCCCTGCTTTCTGGCATCCTGCATCATACTCTCCACGGCCTTAGCAACCTAACGACGAATGAAGACCGATACCATTTTTAACCATTTTCGGAATATCGCTCCACCACCCTCACACATGCAAAACCGACGGTACTTTCCGGGGGGGGGGGGGGGGGGGGGGGGGGGGGGGGGGGGGGGGGGGGGGGGGG